TTTTTTTTTTGGTAGAGCTTGGCTGCAGCCCGCGTCGCCCGGGTTGAGGCTGCCCTCGCTGCAATCACACACGGAAGTTGGCTGTGACTGTAGCCTAGCAGCGGAGAATTAAGCAGCAGCCGGTAGCAATTCGAACATCGAAGCCCACACAGTCCGCTCGACTTGGCTCAGCTCCACCATCGATCCCAATACATTACGCACCAGCGCATCTGGCACCGCGGTTTGCTCTTGCCGTCGAGCTCATCTCATCGTCCAAGGCGCAAGCCGACGCTTATTACACCCTCCTTTCGAAGTGGATTCGCACCTTTCCCCCCTGGACACGATCTGGCCCACCCGCCCAACGTTGACGGCCAAGATGCCGGTGCAAGAGTCTGTCGACATGTCGGCCGCCTGGTTGGCCCACGCGCCTCCTCCGCCGCCGCCGACCACGGACGTTCGAAAGCCTCGCCGAAGCTCCTCCTACGAGCCCATGTCGGCCAAGTCCGCCGGACAGATGAACGACACCCACACGCGCGGTGGCTATCTTCCTCCCAGCTCGCATTCTCCCGAACCACCACGTCAACGCAGAACGTCTGTCGAGGAGCTCAAAAGCGCCGCTGCCTCGTCCTCGACGCCATCCTCGCCTGTTAAGCGTGCGCGGTCCAAGGTCGCTTCCAACCCGGTGCCCCCCGCACCGAGTGCCTTTTACAATTACCAACACCAGCTGCAGCAGCAGCAGCAGCAAATGCATCGCCAGAGAGAGCAGTCGGCTCCCACTCCGTCTCAGCCTCCGCATCCACCAGCACACGAATTCACCTATATGCAGCCACAGACACACCCACAGCCACCGCCGCAATCCGTCGCCATGACATATAGTCACTCGGACGCCGCAACGGCCCCAGTCCACCCGGGTTACGCAAGAGAACGCCGTGACAGCGCTCCGGCTTCCACGTTCGCCAACACGCAGCCACCTTACAATGTCGCCTATTCCCCGCAGAACCCGCAGCACCCTCAACACGCGTCGGCCGTTTCGCCCGTCTACACCTCTCCCTACGCAACCACGTCGGGTCCACCAGTCGCCGTTCAAGCCTATGCCGCCCCGGCCCCCGGCGGCTACGCCCCCCACAGCATGGTACCCGCCTCCCATCTCCAACACTTGGCCTCGCATGCCCAGCAATACAGCGTGCCCGCACACCAACACCAGCACTGGCTGCCACCACAGCCGGCTCAGCCTGCAACGCAACCAGGCGTGCCGCACCACTACTATACCGCCGCTCCCGTCCCGCCTGCATCGGGACACCCCTGGGATGCACATGCAGTGAACGCCACTCCACCTCAACAAGCAGGCATGGCCTTCCCTACAACGACAAACGCCATGCCTCCCATCACCTCGCCCGAGATGCACACGTTCCCCGCCACACAGATGAGCCCTACACCAGGCGGCGCACCCAATGGCGCCCAAGTGCCCCCTCCAGTCGTCTCGCATGCTGCATATGCGTCCGACTTGAGCAGGCAATCCACCATTTCATCCGTCGGATCGGTTCGCAGACCCCTGCCCCAGCCGACGCGCACCTCCTCCAATCCATCGGCTCCTGGCTCGCCCTCGACGGGCACTGTTGGTCTCAACAATCGTGCCAGCGTGCGACGCGACCTTCCTCGGCTGCCCCCGGGTTCGCCAGCAACCATATCGGCGGCTTCCACTTTTGCTTCTTCCAACCTCGCCAAAAGAGACAACAGCAGTCCCGGATCGCCCGACGCGGCCACCATGTCGAGACTTCCTCCCGCCGCCTTGAACCGGACGGAAAGCGTCAGACTAGCGGCAGAAGCCCTCATGGCGCGCGGAGCACCACAGCGACGACCACTGCGCTCCCCACTCGCGAGCACCACCTTTTCCCCCCCTTTGCCACCCACCAGGATGGCAGCAAGTCCGCTGGCGCAAAGCAGCCCGCTTCCATCCAGCCAGAGCGAGCCCGCCACAGCCGGCACTGGCGCATCTGCTGCTCGCACTGCAGCACAGTACACGGCAGAAGTGACGGCGCCATCGAATCCACGTGGAGAGCCCCAGTCGAGCCAAAGCGACGGATCCATTCTGGCGAGCTCGGTCGGCTCGAGAACCAGCCCATCTAGCGCGCAGCCGGCGAACGGATACCCTCACCACGCTCAGCATGGCGCGACCTCGGCGCCTGCACGTTACCAAGATGCCATGAACCAGGCTGCGCAGTACAACCAGCCGCAGGCGCCCGCGCAGAATCACGCCGCACAGCGCCAGTCGACGGACGAGCTGGCCACATCGATAAACAAGATGAGCGTCAGCCAGCCGGCCGCCTCGCCAGCCCCAGCAAAGGTGGAGCAGCCCGCAGCGTCCATCCCGGTCTTTAGCTTCGACGCGCCGGAGGCCGAGCCGGAAAGACCCAGACGCCGACGAGGCAGCAGCGTTTCGCGAGCGTCACCCACACCGGGCCACAAGGTGATTCAGCATGCAACAGCGCCTTCAGCCGTACCCACCATCGTTCTGCCCGGCGATGACGACGCTTTCGACGGTCCATCAATCCAGGTCTCGGGACCCGACGGCGATAACGGCGGCACGGGCTCAGCACCCATGATCTCGATCAGCACCGATGACGACGATGCGCGTTCCCAGACGAGCAATGGCAGCCGGGGTCCGGCAATCTCGGTGTCGTTCTTGGGCGAGCCTGCAGCCAAGTCTCAGAGGGCTGGCACGAGCCATTCGCCCTCCTCGACTCCGTACGGCAAGAAAGACGCCGACAGTGGACGCGTGTCGGCGTCGTCGGTCGGCAGCGGCGCGGGCTGCCACGGCTGTCGCAAGTGGATCGCCGGCAAGGTGGTGCATGCGCTCGGCACGACTTTCCACCCGAGCTGCTTCGTGTGCGCGCACTGCTCCGAGGGCCTCGAGCACGTGGCCTTCTACGAGCACGAGGGGCTGCCGTACTGCCACTTTGACTACCACGAGCTGTTCTCCAAGCGATGCTTCCACTGCCGCACGCCCATCGTGGACGAGCGGTACATCACTGTGCAGGACGACGAGCTCACCGGCCAGGACGGCGAGACCAACGAGCGGTGCTACCACGAGCTGCACTTCTTCTGTGCCAACTGCGGTGATCCGTTCTTGGATCCCAAGGTGGCCGGCTCGGCCGCGGGTTCCGATCCGGGTCAGTTGGCCGCGGACGAGAACGGCAAGATCAAGCACGGCGGCATGGAATTCATCGTGCACAAGGGCTATCCGTACTGCGAAAAGTGCCACGTGTCGCTGCACAAGCCGCGATGCAAGGCGTGCAAGAAGCCCATCGTGGACGACCTCATCTCGGCGCTCGGAGGCAAGTACCATCCGGAGTGCTTTACGTGCACGGCATGCGCGCAGCCGTTCTCCGACACGCAGTTCTTCGTCAAGGACGCCAAGCCATACGACGAGGAGTGCTACAAGGTGCTGCTGCGCAACATGATCTGATGGGCTGCTTGCTGCCTGTCCGAACGCGCCAGCGCGCTTTTGACTCAACACTGTATTTCTAGACGTGCCAACATTGCAGGACATTTCGCCTTGCCGTGCTGGTCTGGTGTTTGCATTGTGATTCTGAGTGGGGGTGGATTAGGACTTTGTGGGGGATGCTTTTGCGAGGCGGTACATTTGGAGGAGGGTATCAGATTTGTCCTGGTGGTCTGCAGGATGGGCGATGGGGGCGGGGGATGCGAAGAGGGGGTCGATACCGGACGACTGTTTTGGGAACGCGATGACGTCTCTTATAGTGTCCGTGTCGCAGAGGATTGCCATGAGTCTATCGAAGCCTAGGGCGATTCCACCGTGGGGCGGGGCACCGCAATCGAGTGCATGGATGAGGTGTGCAAATCTGGCCTGTTCGGCACTATCCAGCTTCAGCACGTGTTGAAAGACGGTCTGCTGTAACTTTGCCGAGTGGATTCGAACTGATCCGCCACCGATTTCTTGGCCGTTGAGGACGAGGTCGTAGTGTTGGCCACGAACCTTTGCAATGTCTTGTGCATCTCGCGTGAGGAGATGGATGTCTTCCGCGACGGGGGCGGTGAAAGGATGGTGACTGGACTGCCACCTTGGCGCCGAGGTGGTGGACGAGAGCGAGGCGAGTTGGTTCTTGTCGTCGTCCGCGAGTGTGAAGAGTGGGAATTCTGTGATCCACGCGAAGGCATCGCCGCTCAACTCCAACAGGCCCTTCTTCTCCAGCATCCCGGCGAGCTGTTTGCGTACATCTCCAAGCACTGTGCTTCCACCCTCGGGAGGATCCTTGCGGAGCGATACAAACACATCTACAGCACCATCGCTCGTATCGCCAATAGCTGCTCGAAGTGTCGCGGCGAGATGCTCCACATCCACCTCGGATGCCGAGACATCGTCGAGCTCCTGCAGGAAGGTCCTTGTGAGCGCGCTCTTTTTGAGCAAAAGCGCAGCCAGCTCGTAGATGTTTTCGCACGATGCAATGCGGAACCTCTCCACACGCCCCTTGAAGCCAGCCAACAAGGTTTCGAGTTCCTTCTTGGACAGCCCGCCCGAGGTCGAGTGCTGATAAGGCAGCACTTCGAGGCTCATGCTGCGCGGTTCGTGCTCCACAGCAGGATCGGTGGAGGAGACAAAGCCGTTCGAAATGTCGTGGAGGGCAAGATCGTAGCGCAGGTCAGGTTTGTCGGATCCATAGCGCGTCATTGCAGTCCAATACGACATGACAGGAAATTGAGTCGGCAATTCGCCTCGACCTGCCACCTGCCAGATGCACGAGACAAGACGCTCGATCTCGTCGCGCACCTGATGACCTCCGATCCTCCATGCACCGCCAGCATCCCTTCGATCAACACCATCCTCCGCTCGAGAAGGGTGGGTAGCAGCTTGCGCCGGAGCAGATTCGGGCCCGCCGCTGACAAAGCCCATCTCGAGGTCGATCTGGGTGAACTCGGGCTGTCTGTCCTTGCGTCCGTCCTCGTCCCTGAAGCACTTTGCGATCTGAAAGTACCTGTCCGTGACGCCGGATGCGATGAGGAGCTGCTTGGGCTGCTGCGGCGACTGCGGCAAAGCAAAAAACGCCGGCTCGGAAGAGGACGTCCTGGTAGGCACGAGGAACTCGCGCGCGCCCTCGGGAGTAGAGCGAAGGAGGACAGGCGTCTCGATTTCCAGGAAGCCGTTGTCGTAGAGGTGGTTGCGGACGGCATGCGTGATTCGACTGCGGAGTCGGATGTTGTTTGCCAGCGAGGGACGGCGCAAGTCGAGATACCTGTAACGCGCACGGAGCTCGGTCGAAACGCCATCTGCATGCATTGAGTCGGACGGGTGGAACGGTAGGTCGCGGGTGGCCGGGTTGAGGAGGGTGAAGCTGTGTGGGATGACTTCGACAGCGCCCGTATCCATAGTCGCTTTCGAGTCCTGGACGGGGCGCAGTGCTACTCGACCACGGATAAGCACGGCGCTCTGTAGGGGAACCGCTACCAACGATTCCAGCAACGCAGGAGATGCCTCGGTAGGCTGTACTTTGAGCTGCACAGAGCCGGAGTGGTCGAACATTGTGAAGAATGCGAGCTGCTTGGAGACCTGTCTGGACGACTGGATCCAGCCCGTGAGGATGACCTCTTGGTCTGCATGTTCGAGACGCAGCTGCCCACATGTGTGAGAACGTGCAGGGAAAGCGCCGTAGAATGCGTCTTGGCTTGAGCTCGCGACATTGCCGGTTTGTCGGTCATGGTGCTGGGGTGACGAGGATGCAGGGGCGTATGTCGTTGCGTACGGCCGGAGCGAGAGCCGCGATGGACCCGAGCTGGGCCATGCTGCTGCTACATGCACGGAGCGAGCACGCAGAGCAATGCGCTGCACAGCCCTTGCGGAAGGGGCGAGCATCGATGTGCGAGCGCTGTAAGCAGGGAAAGGTGGACGGCGAGAAGAAAGGTTAGTGCGGCGGTGTTGGGCAGCTGAAAATTCCGCCCAGCAGTGGTGGAGGGATGGATCGGGCGAGCGGGCGAGCGGGTCGGGCAGGTGGTGCAAGCTGATCGGCCGATTGGGAAGGAGCGGGCGGCGGCGGCGGCACCACACGCTTCTGAACGCGTTTTTGTGCGAATTGCGTTTTGGCTTTGTTGGATCGAGGGAGCGATCGTGTTGCTTCGCTTGCTTCTGCTAACCATCATCCGTCGGCATCACCAGCGGCGCTGCGCCTTGCTACCACATCCGGACGCTACCGTACAGCGATCAGAGCAACCTCCACTTTACATAGCCGCCATGGATCGTCCGCGGCGCTCCACGCGTCAATCCACCTCGGCTCTCCAGTCGCCAGCACCCACGCCTGCGCCGTCCACGTCCGCAGCGGCGGCATCGTCGGCCATCGTGCCGCCCGTCGCCATGGCAAACGGCAACGCAACCCCGTCGCGCTTCGAGGCAGGCTACTCGTCCAACACGACCTTTCAGCAGCCGATGACGCCGCAGCCTGCACCTGGATTCGCGCATCCGTCCTCACAGAACTTTGCGCATCAGCGACCGCACATGGCCATGGATGCGCCGGCGCCACATCCGATCTCGCAGCTCAGCTTGCAGTCGCTCCCGAACGTGCATGTTATGGGTCGTGGTGCGGCACCCATCGCACCGGGCACGTCGGTGGCGCCACCGCGTCCGTTTGGCACCGCGGCTTCGGCGCCCACCGTGCCGCAGGCCATGTACAGCACCTTTCCGTCGCGCATCAAGGCAGGCACCACCAACCTGCTCCAATCCATGCCGCAGTCCGAATGGTACGACCCCTCGGGCCGACCGCTCGATCCGCTCGCCACCCCGACACACGAATACGCCGGCGGCTCCACGCCCTACCGCGCCGCGCGTGCGAGCGGCCGCCGAAGAGCTGCGGCGGGCTACATCCGCTACGCCGAGGCGGGCAGCTCGGACGACGACTTTGAGGAGGACGCCGCGGGCACCGAAGACGACGCCGCACGCAGCGGCTCCAAACGTCGGCTCGAGGACGAGGACGACGAGTCGTCGCGCGCCTACCTCGGACTGCCGCCACCGGCGTCGAGGGTGGTGGCGAAACGCATGTTCCACCGCACCAACCACGTCTACCACAACGACGACGACCTGGCGCGCCAGGCTGGACGCAACGAGATCCTCGTGCCCATCAAGATCGACCTCGAGGCCGAACAGTACCGCATCAAGGACTCGTTTACGTGGAACATGAACGAGCGTCTCATCTCGCCGCACCACTTTGCGAGGCTGCTGCTCGAGGATCTGGATATCCCCGTCGAGCCGTACGCAACGCAGATCACGAACATGATCAACCAGCAGATCGACGACGCGACGGGCGTGGCGGACATCGAGATGGAGCCTGCGGCGGGCGGCGTGTGGGCTTCGGCGCGGTTGCACGACCAGGAGGGCCAGATTGCGTTACCTGTGGCGGAGCGCGCGCAGTACGATGCAAAAGAGGAGCTTGTTAAGGAGGGCCGGTCGTGGGATTGGGGGCTCGAGCGACGGGACGAGGAGCAGCGCGCGTGGCGCAAACGCATGGCGGAGCGGCTCGACGCCGGCCAAGGGCTGGGCGACTCTGAGGATGATCTGCGCGTGATTGTGGATTACGAGGTGCAGATCCTGCGGCACATGCTGCGCGATCGGCTCGAGTGGGATCTGTGCTCGCCGCTGACGCCCGAGTCGTTTGCACGCAAGCTGTGCGACGATCTCGGATTGTCGGGCGAGGCGGCTGCGCTGATCGCCAATAGCGTGCGCGAGCAGCTCATCCACCACAAGCGCGCTGCGCTCGAGCTCGGGCTCGTGGGCAGCGGACGCGTGCTCAAGGAGAAGGAGGCCGAGATCGAGCAGGCGTGGGCCGAGCTGCATGCCGAGAAGGTGGACAAGCAGCGCAAGAGGCTCGAGCGCGCCACCAGCGCGTCCGAGGCCCAGTCGCAGGTGGCATCGGCCAATGCCACGGGTGGCGCTAATACGCGCGAGCCTTCGGTGCAGCCCAGTGCAGACGAGCAGCCCAAAGCTGGCGTTGAAGGGCAGGAGTCGATTGCGACGGCACGTGGGTCGGTGGACGCCGATGCTGTCACAGGCGAGGTTGAGGCGCGTACGACACCTGCTCCTGGTGCAGACGATGACGACGATGAAGACGTCGAGACACTGCACCTTACGGCCACGGCCACGGCTGCGCCGACACGCGAAGGAACTTCGACACCCGCCATCCAGCCTGCCTCGACGCCCGCGCCAGCCACACGATCATCCGCACGCCTCTCGAACATGCTCGATGGCGTGGCGAGTGGATCGGGAGCAGCCACGCCGTCTGGGCCTGCGGTGGAGCCGGTGGTGAGTGCGTCGCAGCGGCTGCACAATGCGTCGTACACGGTGCGCGAGATTCTGTCGCGTGGACCACGACCGTTGGAAGGCATCTGGCGCGACTGGCATGAGTCGCGCGAGTTTGGCCCGCTGCTCGAACGGCTCAACGACGACGACCTCGAGAAGCTCGAGGA